CCATCTCTGCAGCCATGGTGCTCCGAATCTTGGGGTTCCTTGGCGGCACAAAGGAAAGATTGGGTCCAGTGTTGTTGTTGTAGTTGTTGTTCATGTTGCTGCTGTTACTACTGTTGTTGTTGTTGTTGTTGTTATTGTTGTTGATGGTGATGGTGATGATGATGTTGCTGCTACTGCTGTTGTTGTTGTTGATGTTGATGATGATGATGATGATGATGATGATGATGATGATGATGATGATGATGATGTTATTACCGCTGTTGTTGTTGTTGTTGTTGTTGTTGTTGTTGTTGTTGTTGTTTGTTGTTGTTTTTGTTATTATTGTTGTTGTTGTTGTTGTTGTTGATGATGATGATGATGTTACTACCGCTGTTGTTGTTGTTGTAGTTTTTGTTGATGTTGCTGCTGTTACTACTGTTGTTGTTGTTGTAGTTGTTGTTGTTTTGTGAAGGGGTGTTTCCGTCCCCATCGACATAATGTAGATAATTTAGGAGACAGTCTGTAAGGGCCAGCCCGGGCTGAGAGGATTACAATGTCGCAGCAGAAAGACCGAGATACTCGATAAACGTTCTCCCCACACGGGAATCGAACTAGGATATTCTGCGTGCGAAGGCGAAGCACCTAACAGCAACATCACAGAGTTAAAGTAGTCGAAGGTCATATGTGAGGCAGCGTGGTGGAATCAGGCTCTCGTCAAAATAATCAAAGTGAAGAAACTTGCATTTTTCTGCTAGTTTGTGAATTTTTATCAAATGTTTGTTTTTTCGCTCAACACCTTTCATGCCCTTTAAATAACTCATTTCTGTGTGAATTTTTCTGAAAAATGTTTATTGAAGGCACAAAAATTGTACATTTTCAGTTACCACGGACTCTTAAGCTAAGGAAAAAAACGAATCTTTGGCCGCCATTTTCTCACTAATTTTACCTCTGAAAACACATGACCCCCACCTCCTTCATTCGCAAATATCTTGACTTGTATTCAAGATAAATGGATATTTTTTTTATCCAAATAAACACAAGTGAACAGGCTTTAAGATGATACCAATAACTCTACACGCCCAAAAATTTACGAGAGCCTGATTCCACCACGCTGCCTCACATATAGAAAGATTTATGTTTTCAGTTCGTTGTATACAAAGTGTGTGCCAAGACGCGGTGGAATCAAAGCGATCGTCAGTTTTGGAATATATTATTATATAGTTATTGGCATAATCTTAAAGTTTATTCGCTAGTCTTGCCTTCTATGAAGCAAAGACATATCTACATTAAACAGAAGTCGAGATTTAAGAGACTAAATGAGGAGGGGGTCGCCTACTTTCAAAAGTAATGTTAGCGAGAAAGTGGCTGCCGCCAAAGTTTTGTGACTTTCAAAGTTGAAACTACACATTTACATTTTGTGTGCCTTTGATCAAAGTTTTTCTGTAAAGTTTTTTTTTCAGTTTTTACAGAGATGTATTTTTGAAAAGACATAAAAGGTGTTGAGCCCAAAAATAAAATTGAATTTTTTAATTGGCCACACGGGCGGAAAGATGTTGGATCCAAAGATCAGAAGAAGTCAAATGAACACACAATGTAAACATGCACCATGATATAATCGGATTTTTTTATACGCCCTGTAAAACTGTCCCCGTCGGTGTTATGCAAGAACAATTCTGAAACTATGCAAACTGAGCCTAAAAAATTTTTAATTATGCTATTCTCTTAATTTTAACAAAGAATGATGAAGAAAAATAATCAGAAATTAAGCAAACAAATGATCAAATTTTGCTACATTATGCGGGGTGCATAAAACTACGGGAACAGATATAAGCGCTCTCGAGCCAGATTTCTAGATGGATGCCCTTCCGAACAATAGACACAGGAAAAACAATCCAGACTTTGAAGCTAAAAGGTCCCAAATTTTGGACACCACAAAGTTCACAAAACAAGAGAGTTGAGAAACATAATACAAACTTATGTAACCATGAGGCGATGGGCTAATCTTAGTTTTATTAAGAGTTTTACGGCACTTGCAACACAATAAGGTCATGTAAGAACTGAAGATTAGATGTGTTACAAGAGAGTAACAAACACAAAAAAGAAGGAAGAGAGATTAGGACGAAAGATGTTTGATGGGAAAGAAGGAGCAAACCTCACCAGAGCACTCGCAAACCACCCACGGGCTAGTCTAAAAAAGAAAATTGGCAATACTTTAACTGAACGCACATGTTCCTTCATTCTACTCACCATAACGCACATGTTCCTTCATTCTGCTCACCGCCTCACTCCCGTTCTAGATGAGTTCGACCCAGCACATGTTGTACAGCTGTGGTATGATGAGAAAGTGGACTACAATTACGACAGTTTGAGATGCACACCAGGGAAAATGTGCGGTCACTATACTCAGGTGAGATACCTGTCTACCTACTTACTTACCAGCCTACCTAATATCCAACCAAGCAATATTCTACCTACCCGCCTACCTACCTACCTACCTACCTACCTACCTACCTAACTACCTACCTACCTACTTACCTGCCTGACTACCTACTTACTTACCAACCTATCTAACACCCTACCTGGCAATCTACCTACCCGCCTACCTACCTACCTACCTACGTACCTACACACTTATTTTCTTACCTGCCTGCGTGGGTGGTTGGTGTGTGCTCTGGTGTGGTTTGCTTCTTCTTTCCTATCAAACATCTATTGTCTTTACCCCCCCTCCTTCTTTTTTTGTGTTTGTTACTCTCTTGTAACAACTCTAATCTTCAGCACTTATATGACGTTATTGTGTTGCAAGTGCCGTAAAACACTTACTAAAACAAAAATTATCTGCCTCCCTACCTACCTAATTGCCTGTCAACATGCCTGCCTATATAACTAGCAATATTCCTACCTACCTACCTACCTACCTACCTACCTACCTACCTACCTCTCTACCTACCTACCTACCTATCTACCTTCCTCTCTACCTACCTACCTACCTACCTACCTATCTACCTTCCTCTACCTTCCTACCTACCTTCCTACCTACCTACCTACCTACCTACCTACCTACCTACCTACCTACCTACCTACCTACCTACCTACCTACTTAGCGCTACCTGCCTTCGTACCCTCCTACCCACCTATCCATCTTCCTAAGCAGCCATCTACCGACCTAGGGCACATACTTCACTATTGTGTGTTCTCTATAGTATTATTATGGCCAAGTGCTCGACAGTCGAAATGATATGCGCTGTTATTACATGTAGTAGCCAGAAGTGTGTAATACATTTTTGTATACATTTTTGTATTTATACGAAGTCAAAATGAAATAACGGCACAGGTATGTAAAATGTGAAGAAGTTAAAGTTGTTTCAGACCTCCACCGTCCCTCATTTTTCAAAACCTATAATTTGGCGGGTCACAACTTCGACTTTCGGTCCGTAGGTTCAAGAATGGTTAACGAGACGCAGAAAATAAATGCGTTTTATTAGATCATTCTGGGATTAATGCGTTGGAAATAAAACGCATTTCTACATGGGTGATCTGATAAAACGCATTCTTCTTATTTGTTTGTTTGTATTTAGCTCAAATTCGATTAAATTTGGTTTAGTCATGGTAAATGAGATATATCTTCATGTGGGATAGTCAAACAAAAACATAGGTGCTATTTGTTTGTTTAATTAGCACACAAAAACCACTAAATCGCGATTATCTCGAAACCTTGATTTTGATTTAAAAAATGCGTTTTATCAGATCGCGGCAGTACTGTGTATAATGTTATGGTGACCCAAATGTAGCCACACGGAAAGTCAAGACTCTGGGGGTGAGTGTGAGTACAGGGTCAAGTTAATACTGAATTGTTGGCGGGGCCTGGGGGGTGCAAGTTTTACCTAGCTCTTACGCTACGAAGCGACTCAATATTAGATGCACTCCACAATAAATATATCATTTAGAGTTAGAGCTCAGGAACAAATTTTAAATATGTCTTTCCTCTTCCTCTTCTATCCCATGGTTGGGGCAACCGCGGGGGCACAACTGCATCATCTGACTACCAGCTCTCGCCACTTCTGGTGGACATCGGCCCATGGTTATGACCTTAGAGAGGGGCGGGCACCGCCAAGCGTCTCTGCCCAAGACACACCACAAGGAATGACAAACAGCTCCGATACTGGCCTAGGGGTTAGGCTCTCGGACTCGCAACCGTAAGGTCGTGGGTTTGAATCCTATCAGGGACCCGACGTTGTGTCCTTGGGAAAGGCACTTTACACAAATTTTCCTCACTTCACCCAGGTGGGAATGGGTACCCAGCTATAAACAATGAAAGATCTTGTCAGTTTGTTAGTGTTTGCTTACTGGGCTGCTTGCACTACTGTTTGCTTCCCGGGAAGCTGAGAATGTTTCTGAGTGTTCTATGGTCTGCTGGGGTAATAATGTAGTGTAAAGCACATAGAGCTTGCTGTCGAGCGGGGTTATGCGCTATACAAATGCTATTTATTATTATTATTATTATTATTATTATTATTATTATACTAAATACATGTATGTCAGAATGAGGGAAAAAAACAACCTCGGTGAATAAGTAAAGCCTTGCTACTTTTGCTCTCTCACTTTCTCACAGGTGGTGTGGGCCAACAGCCGAGCTGTAGGGTGTGGAGTTCGATACTGTCCCTTTCTCCAACAGGCATCCCAGTTTGGTTTCTCCAAAGGCTACAATGTGGTGTGCCATTACGGGCCAGGGTATGTTAATTAACACACAGAGCAGACAGTATAATAACTTTGCGCGCAGATAACTTCTTCCTCTTTTTTCTTCTTTTATTTAACTTCTTCACTGTTGAGTAGACGTGTGTTCTGGCTTGTATTCACCACTTATATGATTGTTTCATCTGGTTAATTAACAAAAGACGTTTTAGTTGGTTTAGTTACAGCTTGTGATTTTACGTATTCTGAAACAATTCTCTGTGTTTAAGTTTAAATATTCCTTGAATTATCAATTTATCTTGTCAGTAGGCCCTACATATGTTGATGGTAACTTTTCAGCAGTGAAGGGGTTAATGCTTACACTTACAGATAAATTGATTTACAGGCATTGGGGAACATGTTGTAAGCTTTTCTACACTTTACTCTTACTGGAATGTGGGAGAAAAGGGACGCAACGGATGCATCCGTCGAGGTAAAACATGAAAGGGGAAGATGAGAATGTGGGCATCGTGGTTCATGTGAGTGTTTGTACCGCTGGAGGGGTTGCACCTCCTGTTGGTGTGCAGTGAGACAATTTATCCCCCCACCCCCACCCCCA